GTGCTTAGTCCTATTACTATTTACCTTGTTAGCAGCTATCTTATGACATGACTGGTTGTCATTATACAAAATAATAGGTTTATCTATCATCTCTACATATAGTTCTTTAATAATATTCTTTAAGAAAATAGCCTCCTTGGCACCCTGAGCCAGGGCAACATATTCCGCTTCAGTTGATGATAATGAAACACAAGTTTGCTTTTTACTTTCAAAGGCAATAAGATTATCACCAAGTTTAAACACTAATCCGGAATATGATCTCCTGTCTTCTGAATTTGCCCAATCGGCATCAACATATCCATATAAACTGAAGTTCTTTGACTTCTTATATACTAAACAATAATTAATTGTACCTTTCAGATACCTTACAATCCTTTTTACCTGTACAAAATGTTCTTTTGTATAACAATTATTATATTGAGATAATACACAAACTGCATGTAATATGTCTGGTCTGGTATTTAGAGCAATATACATCAAGCTTCCAATTAAATTTTGATATGGAATTTTTGGATCAACGGTGTCACTTTTACTCATCCTCAAACCTGGTAGAATTGGTGAATTTACAGGTTTGCAATCTTGCATTCCATACACACTTAATATATTTTCTATATACCTTTTCTGATCAACAATTAATTCTGAACCTACTCTTCTTATTCTCAAACTTAGGGCATGTTCTATGGGACCTAAATTCTTTAATTTAAATTTACTATCTAGTAGAGAAAATATATCATGCTTTTTCTTTTGATTATTACCAAATGCAAAAATGTCATCCACATAAATTGCTAAAATTAAATAAAGGTTATCTTGTTTGAGAATATAAATACATGGTTCATGAACAGACTGCTTAAAACCAATATTAATCAAAGCATTATGCAACTCTTTATTCCAACTTGAGGCTGCCTGCTTCAGTCCATACATAGCTTTGTTTAGTTTGCATACCTTAGGCACATTATCATTTTTACCTTTATCAATTAACAAGCCCTTTGGCATATACATAAAAACATCTTCATTTAATGTTCCATGAAGAAAAGCAGTAACAACATCCCAATGGTCTATAAACCAATCAAACTGAATTGCCAAAGAAAAAAGAATTCTAAGTGCACTAGAACGAACAACTGGTGAATATGTATCATGATAATCAATACCAAATCTTTGATTATACCCACGTGCAACTAACCTAGCCTTATATTTGACAATATTGTTGTCACTGTCTTTCTTTATTTTAAATACCCATTTGCTATCTATAGGGGTTACACCCTTTGGTAAATCTACAATAGACCAAGTATTATTAATATCCAATGATGAAAGTTCAGCATTAATAGCATCTTTCCAACAAGCTGGTAAATTATCAAAATCATCAAAATGTAAACATTCATCATCAGATTCCATGCACATATACACATGATAGTCTGGAAACTCCTTTATCTTTCTATTACGCAATGGATATCGTTGAGAATTTTCACTTTCGACATTTCCATTACTGTTACCACTACACAATGGATCCACATTTATCACTGACTCACTTTCACTTTCTGATAAATTATCACAGTCTAAGAACACAGGATCACTATCACATGAATTATGTATAAAATCTTTACCTGAACTTGGAACCTGGTCACATGCTTGAGCTGGATCAGCGGTGACAGCCCTTGGGGCCATAGACGATGATGCATGTCCTCTTGTCACTTTCTGAACTTTGCTGCTGTTGACTTCATCAGCATCAGGAATTAAGGATATCACAAAATCATGATTTTTCGAAGATTCCTTCTGATGTTTAGACTGCTGCTCTGTTAAATCCTGTTTAAAAATATCAACACATACTTGTTCTGGTAGGAATTTAACATCTCTAGATAAAACTATCTTTCTGTCCTCTGTCCATATTCTATACCCATCTTTGTCTCCACAATATCCAACTAAGTTTCCCTTTATTGCCTTTTTATCTAGCTTTCTGCGCTTTTGGTCAGGTACATGAATAAAACATTTTGTGCCAAATATCTTCAGATGACTTATATCAGCTTTTTTGCCAAACCATAAACTGTATGGTGTAGATGAGTCATCAACACCTGTTGGACCAGTCCTATTCAGAACATATGCAGCAGTGTTAACAGCTTCTGCCCATAGCTGCTTATCAAAATTATTTGCATGTAGCATACTCCGAGCTGCTTCCATTAATATTCTGTTTTCACGCTCCGCAGCTCCATTCTGCTGTGGGCTATATGGAATGGTCATGCGATGATTAATTCCAAATGATGACAATATGGCTTGCATTTCCTTGTTTATAAATTCTTTACCTCCATCAGTTATTAATTCTTTTATTGTATAACCTATTGTCGTAGCTTCCAAAATAAAGTTCTTTGTTACTTCTGAAACTGCTGTTTTTTCTTTTATAAAATATACTTTTCTGTATTTGGAGTAATCGTCTTTGAATGCAATACAATATCTACTACCTCCAACAGATACTTCAGCAATGGGGCCACAGACATCAGCATGAATAATTTGTCCTGGTACCTGTGCTCTGATATTTCTTGTATGAAAAGGCAAGCGAGACATTTTACCAAACATGCACCCATCGCAAACAATTTTTTCTGCTGGCTGGAATGGAATATTATTCAGTTTTAAGAATTTTTCAACATGTCTAATATTCTGGTGACATAGGCGTTCATGCCAGATATTTAAGTCTGCCGTATGACTACTAAGCATACAATAATTTTCAGGTAATATCACCCTCATCTCCAATCTGTACATATTTCCCTTATTTCTTATTGCAACTGCTTTTATGTTATTGCCATTTTTAAATATTCTTTTATTTTTATCACCTATTTCAATTAAATTATTTTTTAAAGCTGACCCTGAAGAGAATAAATTCTGTTTACAGGTAGGAACAAACCAAGCATCTTTTAAATGACCTTTCTCCCATTTTCCATTAACCAACATTTTTATGTCTATGATGCCAAATCCTACAGCCATCATTTGACTACCATCTCCGAGATAAACTGGAATTGGGTTATCAAATTGTTCATATGAAGCAAAATACTCTCTATGTGAAGTAATATGGTGTGACGCACCAGAATCTATTATCCAGTCCTCTTTAGTTATCACGGTACTATGTGCAACAAAAGCATGTCCATTTGTAGAATCAGATTTTTGTTTATTTTTAAATTTAAAACAATGTTTTTTGATATGTCCTTTTCTTTTACAATAATTACAAACTGGACCTTTATTATATATACGCTTTTCAGTCTTTGCAACTAGAGCGACTTCACTTTCAGGTTTGCTTTCATTCAATCTTTGCTCATGTAAGCGAAGACGTTCCATTAATGTGGTTACATTTCTATCCGATGCAGGGACAGATTCCCATGCATTTTTGAACTCAAGATAGTTAACAGGCAATGTATTCAGTATTCTGTTTAAAAGTAAGGACTGAGGCAAAGTACTGCCTTCATTTTTCAATTCTAAGTTTAATTGAGTATACAGTCTTTGTAACTTAGAGACATGCGTAGCTATACTGTCCTCTGGTAACTTTTTATACGTAAATAGCTCGCAGTACAAAAGATCCAGTCTTCTTTCATTTTTCTGTTCATACACAGCATGAAGAGTATCCCACATTTCTTTCGCACTTTTGCAGGTTAAAATGTGCTGTTTCGGCTCTCTGCCTACTGTTGAACCTATTAAATACCTTGCAATTGATTCCTTTTCATGGTATAATTTGAAAGACTTTGGTTCTTCTCCATCTTTTGGTTGTTGCGCTACACCGGTCACACGGTCCTCAACTCCATGTAGGGTTATTTGTAAGTTGATATCGAATTTCCATGAAATCCAATTACCTTCACCCTCCAACTTGTCCACTGTGATTTTATCTAATCGCACAGACATTATTGACAAGTACCTCAAGAAGTTCTGAACAAAAAACTTTCAACCGGAAAAAAAAAATGGCGGCTGTGACTTGTGGAAATTGTTCTAGTTTTGTACGAATAATTACAATACCATATAAATGGAAAATCAGGCTGGGCCATAACCTGTTATGATTATTATTGTTATTACACGTCAAATAAATATGTTATTACAAGTCAACTAAATGGATTATTAACGATGGAGAAGAGAAATAAAAAACAACCTTTTTCAGTTCTGTCATTGACACACAAGAAGTTTTTTTTTTTTTTTTTATTTTATAATACCATAAACAAAGTTAGGGTTGCTATATAAAGTTCACAATAAACTATACTTCAACACTGACCTTATTGCAAGAGAGGCTGTAACTTGTGGTGATATGTATCCGTATCATAATTACTGTAGTGACCTAGCTTGTCTCCCAAAAATATATTTAAGGTATGCCTGGAAGGAATATTGGGAAAAAACAAGTACAATAAAAGGAAGATTTTATCGCCTTATACAACCCGATATTCCTTTCAAACCATGGTTTTGTAAATTAAAGCTTGGAAAGACCGCAACAACTATTATAACTCGTATGCGTCTAGGTCACGTATGCACACCTTCTCATTTATACAAGCTTGGTATTGTACAAAGTTCGTCGTGTAATTGCGGTGCTGAAGTGGCGGACTTGAATCATATATTCTTCTCATGTTCTAAATTTGACCACACCTCCCTTTTTAATCATCTCCGATCCATCCGTGTTCCATTCCCAACTTCTATTCTTACTCTACTTTCTTCCAATGATCCTATTATCTATAAAATACTATCTTCATATATATATGATAACAATATTAAGATTTAGTTATATTACATGAATACATTTATAGTTGCATCAATTGCTTTTCCTATATATTTATAAGTATATTCTCATATGTACAAGTATATGTTTCATATCCTATAAATATCCTAGACCTAATCCTTATCCTTTCTAAATTCGTTTGTGTTAGGTATTTTTATTACTATTATCGTTTCCCCGTTTTGTTCTTGGCAAAATACCCTAATATCGGGGTGAACGCCACAAAAAAAAAAAAAAAAAAGTAAAAGAAAAAAAATTTTTGACATTTGAAGAAAAAAAAAAATCTGGCAACTCTAATTTGTTGCTCTGATTGATTTATCTGCAATTTTGCATATGTATTCAGTATTTGTTCTTTCATACTTTCTTCTTTTATTATGTTAATAATAAATAATAGCTATTTTAATAAGAAATAACGTGTAATCGTGTAAAAGTTTCACAGGCCATTTTTCCTAGCTTAATGTATATAATTTAATGTATTTAATGATGAACGAGGAAGACAAGAAAAATATAATTCAAGACCTTAATTTAAAAATTGGAGGCGATATTAATGATTTATCTAATGCTTATGAAATAGAAAATGAACTGGTAGTGCGAAGAGATCAACTTCAAAGCTCTGTAAATATTTTGTTTTAAATAATTGTCACGTCTTATAGCTGAAACAATTTAATTATTATTGCTGGGAACATGCATTTACATTAGATTTAATTTTAAATACTTCTCATTTATTTTGACGAAGAGTAAAGTTCTATATTATTCTTTTTCTCAACGTGATTTTTTTAATGGATTTTGTAATAGCAAACAACCTGATGGAAAGTGGTAATCATCGTCTACGTGACATGAACATGGAATATTATAATACCCAAGTTTCTCTGCGAGCTGCATTGCTATTCCTCAAAAATAAAATGTTCTACTTCCAAAATCTATAATTTCACTGCTAGAACCAGTCTACCTTTCAAACCAAAACAGCCATGCAATTACAGTTGGTTTACAAAAATATAAGTGGGACTTTAGCAGAAGACTTGTATACAATCTGTTTTTTAATTTAAGAGTATCATTATTTAGATGTATAAAGTAAAATTGAAATCTTTAGAATCCTTTTAATCTAATTTTCTATCAGTAAAGTATAATACATTTCTTAAAGAAACAGCTGAGAAAATTAAATATATTGTGCTATCTATACAGCACATGTATGTACCAGTTAGTGTCAGATGTTCAAATTTTATCCTATTTATTTGATAATAAATACAGTACATATTATTCTTTGATTGCTTTCTATAAATAAAAGAGTTTATTAATTTGCATAAAATTTTTAATTAATTAAATAAAATATTTATGTATTTTGTAATATTATGTATATAATACAATACAATATATCCATGTATTTTATAATAATTAAAAATATATCTGGTACTTGGACCAGGTATGTTTTAATTTAAGTTCTAATTTGAAAAAATTAGATGTAGTTGTTACATTGTGATATTTATTCAAGCTATTTTAATTTATTATCCACATTTATATAAACCTCTATTCTATATCTTAATTTTTTCATTTTCAGTTACATGTAGCAAATAATTTAGTACCTACCAAATTATCGTCAGCAATAATAAAAGCAGAAAGGAATTCAACACAAATCAATAATCTGAAAAACAAAAGTCAAACATTGAAATTAAAAGTAGAAAGTTTTTTACAAAAAACGGAACCATTAAGAGATGAGTTGAACAAGAGATTTACAGCCATAAACAAATTAGAACAAACTCTGGTATATCTTAAATCTTTTGAAAAAATTGAAGAATTGAGGTAATTATAGTTTTTGTAAAAAAATTATGTATTTTAAAAATGTATACTATAGAATTTTTTTCTAATTTAATTTAATAAATAATAATTAAGAGTAAGTAATGACAAAAATTCACACTAACTTGTATTGAAATATGTAAGACCTCATTTGTTAAATATTGTTAGATATACAGTAATTTACATGTTGTCAGCAGTTAACTGTCTACTGCTGAACATGGGCCTCTCCCTATTGGAGGGCTTTGCCAATAGTAGCTAAGCTTAGTAGGTGGGTTGGTAACTGCAGTTAGACTGGTGATGTTTTAAGAGGGATGCTGCTGCCCATCCCTCAACTATTAAATTCCATTAGTTACCTCTTATGACACAATAATTATAAATATAAAAGTTTGTAAGAATAGATCTTTGTCGTACATAAACTACCGATTAGGTTTAAGTGAAATTTGGTACGTAGGTAAGTTATATCTTAACATAATACATAAGATGTTTTATGTACTAATCCATGTTGCTAGAGCTGTAGGATACAACAAGTATAACATGTGTATTTATTAAAAAATATGACATGGACACAGATGTTATAGATATGTATTTAAGAATTTGTCATTTTTTAAAACCCTTATTTTCCTAATATGCATATGTGCCTTATCTTTATTAGATACGCAATTATGCAAAATCAAAATTACAATTTAGTCTGTTTATTACAGTCGTCAAATGAAACAGTGTAATGATGATGAACAGTTGGTCTTATCATATGGAGAACTGAAGGAAATGTGTAAACAGTACAAGGTGGGCCACAGAGCTACATATGTCAGAGAATATGTACATTACTGGCATAATATTCTTAAAGATAAGCTTACTAAGTAAGTATATTATGTCATCCCTAGAAATAGTGATCAGTGCACCCCATTCACATTGGGGGGAAAGAGATTGTTAGTAATAGAGACTAAGAATCCCATTGCTAGCAATATACCCAACCAGGTCGACCTCCTCACGGTTCCCCCTGGGAACTATCATGGTTAATTCCTGATGAATTCATCATGATGGGCAAACTAGCCTGTTTTCATTCTCATTTATCACCCTTTACTGGTGCTCCGCCGGCATATCCCATTAGCACATGTGGGGTTACCATTCCATTTTCATCCATAAAAAAAACCATTTGCATTGGGTCTAAAGTGCTTGTTGAAAAGGTACATCAATTATTGCCACAATACTATGCACAGAATTTAATTTATAAGCAACTTTAAAAAGATGGAAGTTCTCAATTCGCCAATATTTTTTATTGTATTTTATGCTTCAACATTGGCATGAATCTCTATGCTGATTCTACACTAATTTGAATGTTGTTTAACAATTTTGTCACAATTTTACGCATGAGACAAAATATTGAATTGTTAAATATTGTAAATAGGTTAATTATTATATATAGTAGTTAATTAAATATATATAATATTAGTATAGTACTGATTCTATAGATTGAGTAAGTTATTGGTTTCATGAAAGAATTTAGTAGAAAACAACACCATTTAGTTTATAATTTACTCATAAGTACTGATTGTTTAAATTTTTATTTTAGGCACTATGAAGATGTATTAAAATTACTAAAATGGCCAATCACAACAGCTGCAGAGAATTCTCCACCTCCTAAAGATGTTTTGATCAGATTCAGTAATCTAACTAGATATTTGTTTCTTATTGAAGAACCTGAGGATATGCATGTTAACATCATTTCAGAAGAGGTCCAAGGTAAAAGCGTAATAATATGTGTAAATAAAAATAAAGTGCTATTTGTTGCTAACTACATATCTGTAATTTTCTGATTATAAGGAAAAAAAAATTATATCTAAAAATAACCATATTGAATACCTGCAAAATTATCTGCCTTTTACAGAGCAAGATCCCTGTCTTCCAGTCAGAATATTATTACGGCCTCTAAAAAAGCGTTTCACATTTCACTTTACGGGCTCCAGACAAACTGCTAGGATTGACCGTCCTGAGTGGTTCCTTACTCAAACACTGACGTGGATTAAAGACCATCAAGGCTTTGTTAAGAACTATGTACAGCCTGTCGCTGATAAATTGCAATTGAAAAATGTTAAAACAGTGGTGAGTTACAAAAATTACTTATTTTTAACTAACACACTGAAGTTCTTTTTTAATTTTAACTAACACACACTTTTAACTGTGTTAGTTGAAGGTTCATCTGATAGAAAGTGGTTATCATCACTTATAGACATGAATGGCACCATGGACACTACAATGTTCACTGTACTTACATTGATATTCATGTTATACTCGTATGTTGCTATTCATAAAGACTAAGGTTTGTACCTCCTGTATTTAAGGTGTTGTACCTCCAATGCTTACATAACCAATAAATAATATCACTGTAATTGTACAAGGTGATAGTATAAATAACCAAGTTATTTTGAAAATTGAATGTTATATTTTTCAGGATGAATTTAATGCAGGTCTAATATCATTAGCTGCAGAGAGACTCCATACAGTATTGGGATTATATCACACACAAGGAACTAAAGGTGAATTAGTAGATGTGGACGCAGCTTTCGCGCATGCTGTGGACGAAACTTTAGGATTCCATAGGGAGTTAGTTACTATAACAGGCAAGGATGGAAACAGTGTGCTCTCTGTGCTGACGAAAGCAGAGACCTTTGTTAGATGGCTGGCTGTTGAGAAAAAGTGTAAGTATTTGCATTGAATTAGAGAGTAATTATATTGCCCTTATATTACTATATTACGTTTCTTCCTGTTGAAAAGGAAAACCCTTTAATGGAAGAAATCTGTGGTCAGTCATGATATGTTAATTTGGCATTATGACGAAAACTATTAGAAAAATGATAAACATAGTCCTGTAACCTTTCAAGTATGTGTGCGGTGTAACCTAGATATTTCTGGATTTATTGTCTATGGTCACGTCCAGTACTATGCAGTGGTACCTTATCTTATGTACTCACTCTACGAAACTCAAACAAAATAGAAACTACTTACTATATTATTCAAGTATCTAATCGTTCACATACATCATTTGATCATTGTCCATCAAGTACACTCAAAATCACAAACAAGTAGGTGGATTACCACTTGTTTACCGTATACGGTACAAACCGTGAATAATATAAAAAATATATTTTTTTGATGGTAATTAAATATTCTTTCCCTTTTTAGATGCTCTCGCAAAGATGGACGAGACTCTAGGCAGCGAACAGTGGTGCGAGCCAGTGGCTGCTGGTGTCAGCTCGGCTGTTGGTACCGTGCTATGGGTGCCACGAGGCGCTGATTGGTTTATAGCACTATTGAAAACTATTGAGGATCGGTACGCCGTGTTGCCGCAGCCTGGTCATCGGTAAGTAGCTGGGATCTTTTGCAATTATAATCACCGCACAGCAATATCAACTTGTTCCATTTGACCGCGTCCAACGCAGAGCATCTCGAATCATTGATGATTGCAATTTCCGATTGACTGTATTCTTTATTTAGGCAAAGAGATTTTGCGTTAGAAAAGAAATTATACTTTTTTTTAAAAGACGGGCAACGCATTGGCGACTCCTCTGGTGTCGTTAGTGTCATTGACTAGCAATAAATTGGGTTTTTTTAAATGCATGATAATAGAATGGTAACCCCGCCTGCTGGCGGGACACCAATGAGGGATGATAGGTTAGAATGAAAAAGCAGGTCCATTAGCCCATCGTGATGAATACATCTAGAATTCAGTACGATGGTTTCCAGGAGATCGACCTGCTAGGGTATATTGCTAGCAATGGTACTGGTACGTACTGGTAATCCGCATTACTAACAATCCCTTCCTCCCAGTAAAATGCGGTTAGATCTACCATTGATTATTTGAATGCAGACTCCAGTTCCTGGAACTGCAACTGGAGCTGGTGGAGGAGTGGCGCGTGAGGCTGACGCAGCTGCTGAGCGCAGCGTTGGCGACACTGAGCGTGGACTCGCTGCTGACGGCCGACGCGGGGCCGCACGCGCTCACCGCCGTCGTCAACGCCGCGCACCACACCCGCACTGTCCTGCTGCAGTGGGCACACTCACTGGTGATTGCCTTTTTTTTTCGAATAATTCTAATGCTGTAGTTGATGTTTACAATTTTACCAGAGGTAACGAAGGCTTACAGAGATGTTTTTCGCTGTCTCATGCTCATCATCATTTCGATGCTTAACCTACTGGATATATTTTAGTCTGAAAATACCACTGTACCCTCAAACTAAAATATTTGTTGTATTTGTAGACAATTTGAACCTAACTCAGATCATCATATTTCGATCCCTATTTGAAGAGATTTTTTTAATTAGAAAGGTATCGCACAAAGACAACAACGTTATTTATTTCCATGATCTTTATTGTTATTTAAATCTTTTAGCACTATCTCCAACTGCACTACTATCGACGTCAGTTTCAACACTTCACACAGCAACAGCACCGCGACGATGATACAGAATCATCGTCGAGTTCTGATGATGACGAGGAAGAAGACACGGATGACGATCTCATTAAGAAATCATCAAAGGCTGGTAATTACATTCTTTTCACATTAATTCAATTATGGCCTAATTTGCTTATTGCCTGTTGGGTTGGCAACGAGCACATGACACCCCTAGTGTTGCTAGCGTCCATAGGCACAGTGACCGTTCACTATCAGATGGCTGTATGATAATTTAAAACATTAGGTGTTAATTTATTTATAAAAAATATAATTATTATATAAGTTGAAGATTACTTTTAATGTTTTATTTTTATTTATCAAACTAGTTCCTTCTCCTTTTTCATGATATTGTTTATTAATATATCAAGAGTTACAATTAAATTAAATTACGTATATTTGTACCTATATTTAAGTAAATTCTTTCAAATCCATGTTGTGTATAGTTAAATACATACATTTTACATATTTTCATATATAATTTTCAGAAGGTGAATCTGATGAAACTATGTCTTTAAAAGAAGTAGAAGTCCGTGCGAAGAAATTAGCACTGAATGAAGTTACCAGAAGAGATTCAGTGGTTATGGAATTAAATCAATTTGATATTGTAAGTACTTTAATTTTTCTTTAGTCTTAAATTGTTCAAATAAATAATTTGTATGGATTGATTGTGGTTATTTTGCAAATAAGGTTCTATACTTTGGCATAGTTAATTTTTAAGTTTAACATATATCTACAAAATTAATATATTAACATTCTATTGACATTTTAGTTTAAATATTTTATATTGCTTATTTTTTACACATATACATATGTGGGCATAAAAATAATCATACTTATCCATGCCAGGTAACAAAAATTTATAGATTGATTAATTGATTCAAATCCTTTAATAATTCCAATGTGAATATCATATTTACTGATAACTATAATATGTTTATCTTGTGGTGTGCAGACATCTCCGATCGCAAACTTAGCAGTAACTGAGCCCCTATCAACTATGGGCGCGGAAGGAGCAGGAGGAGTTACGGAGGAGGCGGGAGTGTTCGCAGAAGCACCAGCGCTACTAGCACATTTGCGTGACGCTGGTCTCGCTGCCATAGCTGATCACATTCTGCTCGAATTCAAAGCCTCACTGAGAGATTACAAGAAACAAAAGTAAAGTTTCTTATTAATTTTTATTTTTAAATCTATTAGGGTCTTTATATACTGTGCAATGCGTTTCTGCTGTTCTCAAACTACAAATATATAAGTTCACATTATGTTGCTGCTGTTATGTATAATTTAAGGCTTCTAATATTTCAGCATTCAATGTAAGTGGCAAGAAGCTAACGACCCACCTCATAGAAAATTGCAATAAACGTGGTGTTTGTTGCAATTTCCTGTCCCATGTTCATGATCATGCGCATCGTAGAATGACGCAAGATACTAATTGTATCCTTCGCTCGTCGTCCTTACTGAGGACTACAGTACCTCTATTTTGGGGGGAAAGGGATTGTTAATAATGAAATTTAACAACCCCATTGAAATTGAAATTGAAATTGAAATCATTTATTTGCTGGAATAAGGTACATTTTTAGGTGTTACTATACAAGAAAAATAGTCCAATCTTATTCTGCCACACTGTAGGCGTTGCTAGCAATATACCCTATCAGGTCGACCTCCATGCGGTTCCCCCTACATACCATAGTGGTTAATTCTTGTTCAATTGATCACTATGGGCCAACTGACTTGCCTTTATCCTCACTTGTCACCCATCACTGGTAGCCTGCCAGCGTATACTGATAGTGCAGGCAGGGTTACCATTTCATCTTCACCCATAAAAAAAGTACCTCTATTTCCCTGTGGAATTTATAGCTATTGCAGCAGAGCTAAAACGAAGCGCGTAAAGGAATTCAGCGTCTAACCATCATGTGTTCCTATATTTTTCGTTGCAGATGGCATGCATGGATGATGGTAGAGGAGATGGCGCTCTCGGTATCGGCTGCGCTGTGCCGTCCGCTGGCGGCGCTGCTGGCGCGCGTGTCGACCGCGCAGCAGCGCCTAGCGCCCCCGCTCGCAGTGCGGCTGCGAGCCGCACTTGCACATCACATCGATGACTACATATTTGAGGTCAGTCTTCAACCTTACCTAGACCAGAGGGAGATTTTGTACAAAAGTCGATTGCTTGGGTACCTCTGTCCGATTCGTGTTTCAATCGTAAAGCAGTTGTGTTTGCATGGCTGTTATATGGCGTGGCAAGGGTGGGATATGGTGTGAATTTACTGGGTACGGAGGAATAACACCTGAATCCTGAGGAATGGCAACGGATGGGGGGCGAAACAGTATATTCTGTTATGTCCATGGTACTGCTCATGTCTATAGGTGACGGTTACCAGTTTCCATCAGGTGGGCCGTCAGCTTGTTTGCCATTCTAAGTTGTATAAAAAATAAACCTTTTCCCACCTTACATTTATGATATGTTTATATTGCATGCATGAATAAACAAGAAAGACTGTGTCCACAGCACAATCCTATTATTAGGAGTAATACATTGACTGCTACATATCTGTCAACGCTGTCCACCACCACCTAGAAACGGCGCGGCCGGCATTGCTCTTCCTCACGGAGACACAGATATCCCCTCCTAACGAAACATCATACCTGACCTACCCGGGGTATAAGCTTGAACATTGTTTTGTTTCGCGTGCCGGCGTATGTGCGTATGTCAGAGAGGATATCTGCTGTCGACGCCTTGGAACTCTTGAAGGTACGGACCTGTCCATTCTATGGCTGCGCGTAGATTGCAATGACCATCCCCGCATCTATGCGTGCCTATACAGGTCCCACAGCGGTAACACTGAAACCGACCAACTAATTGAGCACGTCCAAATGGCTACAGATTCCCTGCTTGAGCAGATTCCTTCCGCTGAAGTCGTGATTGTTGGCGACTTTAATGCCCACCATGCCGAATGGCTTGGTTCGCGTACAACCGACTATGCGGGAAGATCTGTTCATGACTTTGCTTTGGCTTATGGTCTGACACAGCTTGTTTCCTCGCCTACGCGAATCCCTGATGTGTTGGACCATTCACCTTCACTGCTGGACCTTCTGCTGACCACCCACCCAGACAACTATGTGATCTCCGTCGAAGCCCCGCTTGGATCGTCGGATCACTGTTTGGTGCGGAGCGAAGTGCCTCTTACGAGTCCGACTCCACCTCGTTCTACGGGTAGACGTCGCATTTGGCACTACAGGTCGGCAGATTGGGATGAGATGCGGATTTTTTTCGCATCTTACCCATGGAGGCAGGTTTGCTTCACACTGGATGATCCCGACGCCATTGCCGATTCCATTGCTGATGTGGTGCTTCAGGGAATGGAATTATTTATTCCTAACTCTGTGGTGCCCGTCGGCGGGAAATCCCAGCCCTGGTATGGAGCCTCCTGTAGAACAGCATCTCGTTTGAAACAGGAGTGCTTCCTAACCTGGGCTAAAGGTGTGGCGTCGCGAGATCCTAACACCAGTGCTCTTAAAAAGAAGTATAACTCTGCCTCTAGGTCTTTCAAAAGAGTTATAGCCACAGCGAAGTCAGAGCATATTAGTAGAGTTGGCAAGAGACTGGCTAGTTTGCCCTCTGGGACTCGAGCTTTCTGGTCTCTTGCCAAAGCTGCACAAGGGAATTTCTGTAAGTCATCTTTTCCACCTTTGCGCAGGGAGGATGACTCGTTGGCCCAGAACGCTAAAGAAAAGGCCGATCTTCTTGGATCCATCTTTGCGTCAAACTCGACATTGGATGACGGGGAGAAACCACCACCGACCATCACGTGTTGTAGGAGCTCTATGCCTGACATTAAATTCACGCATAGCTCAGTGCGTAGAGCACTTTTCTCCTCGAAATCCATAAGTCGAGTGGGCCTGATGGTATTCCTCCAATTGTGCTTAGGACGTGCGCACCAGAGTTGGCTCCGGTTCTTACGCGTCTTTTTCGGCTTAGCTACTCATCGGGCATAGTCCCAAAGTTTTGGAAGACTGCTCTGGTGCATCCGATCCCTAAAAAGGGAGATCGCTCAGATCCAGCTAACTATAGGCCCATAGCTATCACTTCCTTATTCTCGAAGGTTATGGAATCCATCATTAACCGTCAACTGCTCCGGTACCTAGAAGAGCACCGGCTGATCTGTGATCGCCAGTATGGCTTTCGACAGGGACGTTCGGCCGGTGATCTTTTAGCTTACTTAACACACCGATGGGCAGTGGCAATCGAGAGTAAGGGAGAGGCCTTAGCAGTTAGTCTGGATATTGCGAAGGCCTTTGATCGGGTGTGGCATAGAGCGCTGCTTTCAAAGCTACCTTCATTTGGGTTGCCTGCGAGACTGTGCATTTGGGTCGCCAGTTTTCTCAAGGAACGTAGCATTAAGGTCGTAGTCGACGGTGCATGCTCTGATTTAAAACCTTTGAATGCTGGTGTCCCGCAAGGCTGTGTACTATCTCCGACTCTGTTTCTTCTGCATATCAATGATATGTTACAGATAAGTAATATTCATTGCTATGCGGACGACAGTACAGGAGATACATTATATACCGGTCATGCAAAGATCTCGCGGGCACATACCGATGAGTGCCGGAATAGACTTGTGTCTGAAATCGAAACTTCACTCCATCAAGTTTCGATCTGGGGTGAACAAAATCTTGTCCAATTTAACCCCAAAAAGACACAAGTCTGCGCGTTTACCGCAAAAAAGACGCCGTTTGTCGTATCTCCTCACTTTCAGGGCACTTCCCTTGATAAAAAGTCAAGTCTAGGAATTCTGGGCGTTGATATATCTTGCGACGTCCAGTTTTGCGGTCATCTGGAGGAGAAGGCTAAGATAGCTTCCAAAAAGTTAGGAGTGCTCAATAGGGTGAGACGATATTTCATGCCAGAACACCGCCTGAAATTATATAAAGCCCAAGTCAGGCCGCATATGGAATACTGTTCTCACCTGTGGGCAGGAGCGCCACAGTACCAACTCCTTCCGTTAGACCGCATTCAAAGTCGGGCGGCTCGAATTATCGATAGTCAACGCCTTACTGTCCGACTTGACCCATTGAAACTGCGCAGAGATGTTGCGTCTCTGTGCATCTTCTACCGAATTTATCATGGGGAGTGTTCTGAGGAATTGTTCGGATTGATACCTGCTGCTGATTTTCACCACCGTACAACCCGCCACAAACTAAAGTTTCATCCCAATCATCTGGACGAGTGGCGGTCTTCCACCGTGCGTTTTTCAAGGCACTTTCTTCCACGCACAACCATTCTTTGGAATCAACTTCCAGCAGCAGTATTTCCGAACCGATACGACAACATAACCTTCAAGAAAAGAGTATATTCCTTTTTAAAAGGCCGGCAGCACACCTGCAATGCCGCTGGTGTTGTGGGTGATCATGGGCGGCGGTAGTCACTTACCATCAGGTGAGCCGCATGCTCGTTTGCCCCCTGTGTTGTAAAAAAAAAAAAAAACTTCATTCGCACTTATCATCCCTCAATAGTGTGACCACTGTTAACGCGAGATAGGTTAATAATCCATTTTCATAACCTTCTTCTTGATGATGACACTACAGGCTTACGGTGCGAACGTCTAGCACTGTTTTGTACTGCATTCGAGGCATTAATAAGGTCAATTATTAAATTATTAAGGCCATTAACATTTTCAAGGTCAATTAATTACACTGCTTCCCCCACTTGGGGTCCATAGCCTAAGTGGAATGGAGCAGCGAGTTTGAACATTCAAATGACGTGGCGCCGTCGGTGTCGCTGGTGGCGCTTGTATTGCACCACTCGCTTTGCAACTGCAAGTAGTATCCGCTGATTATATCAACTAGTGCATCTTCGAGATTGAGGTTTCTTAAGTGTAGAGAAGGTCTCCACTTACTCCCTCAACCTTTCCTCTTCACATATTGAATCACAATATGTGAAGGATGATCTCATTGTTGTAATCTTCAGTGGAGTGTTGCCATTGTATAATATTATCATAAATTAAGTGGGTGTATCATTCCAACATCATCAAGGAAATATATTAAAAGGTTTCGATTAAAAAATGCTATACGTATAAATATATATAAATATACTTTGAGCTTGCTGAAAGAGAATTCTTGCAGGATTAAACTCGCCTTTGTATGTTTGCTTTTCACTGTCATATAAAGTATAAATACCTATATATAAAGTATAAATTAAATTTTATGTAATTATACTACTTACATTTCTTTTTTATGGTTTTATTAATTGGTTTAATAAATGTCATATGTTTCAGGAGGTCGTTTTAGAAAATTGGTTCAACACAGGCGGAACAGTGCAGTTCACACACGACGTTAAAAGGAACTTATTGCCGGCTTTTACGCCTCCCAACAAAGTCGCTTCACAAGTGAATCAGTTGCCAAAGTAAGTACATTATCATAAAAAATAAATTATGCCCACAATCAATTTTTGATGAAGTAATTAAAGAAAGATATTTGCCAATTATCACTGATGTAGGGCAACTAGCAGTCGATATGCCGATATTTTGCCAAGTATATTTGAATGGAGTTTGGTGATACCTTGTAATTATTTTGATTAAAATTTGGTACAATTTTATTAAAACCAACCTCTACCTAAACTGGTTGGTAATTAAAGAAACAGTTATTGGAATCTCTAGTAGTAATAATTGTACATGCAAAAAAATAGTCGAATCTTTCTGTATTTTAAACTCTACTAGAAATCAATATTATAACACTCCATCAAATCCAAATATTGATCATCCCTTTATTAAAGGTTTATTTAGTGTTAATCCCAAACTAATTTTTGTTTACATTGTAATTTTTTAAATCTTAAATTATTATTATTTTCTATAGATTATTAGAAGCGTGTAAACTTCTTAATATGGACTACGACGATGCTCGGCGACTGCGCGCCAGCTTGTCCAAACAACCCAACGCTGCAGTCGAAAACTTATCCTCTCACAATATCCGACACATGCAACCCAATGAAGCCTTGCAAATACTAAACCAGAGAACGGACCTTAGTGATTCCACTTCCCCGGCTTCAGTTATGGAGCTTTTCTGAAATTTTGAAGGAGGAGGCGTCTAAAGTGCATAAATTCATGTGATATGACACTGTATAACTAGCTTCGACTAATAACAACAAGGTTCACAATCAGCATTCGAGAATGTCTTTTATATGGAATATGAATATTCTAACATATTAGATATTTACTTGATAACCACAGCTGGTTGACGGTGCTCATATCATAATAGCTGATTGCTTGCACGCTATCTTAGGTCAACAATAACTTCTAGATGTCCACACAAAACATCAAAAATAGTCGAGCAAATAATGAAATAAAGATTGTGTTCCTATTTTTAATATTTAAATTAAAATTACACATTATCATTGATATTTAAATTTTAAATTATACATCAAAATCTTTAAACATTTCGACAAGGATCTCCAATCTTGAATAAAAATATCGATATGTTGAATTCGGTTCGAATTTTCAAATAGATCCATGAAAAATCAACTTTAAAAAATTTTACGTAAAACGATTGCTCTTTTTGTATTTGTAATTTTGATTATATAAACAATTATTAAAACGACGCCATATGCCTACTTGAATTTTATTTAAGTTCGTAAGGCGTTATTTGGTGATGTTATATTTGAATTCTGTTTCATTTCTTGAAGGTGTATCTAGTTGTTTTGTTGATCGATGTACGCCATGTATACAATGGCAGCGTGACCTGCGTTAGTTAGTGAATGCTCAAGCGACTCCGCATTGGAGTATAGGCCTCCTCCTTTATAAAGCTTTTATATTACTTCTAAACTTATAAATACATTTAATATGGCTAATATATGAATGTTAATGTATGGATACCTTGTACTATGGTGTTATTATGTATAAATATAGTTCATGGAATAATTTGCTAGATGAATTTTCTATAGAACTATTTTGGCAATTGTTATAAGTAAGTATTTAATTACTATTATAAAATGCAGTCATTATAAAGCATTATTTTATTACTTACAGGGTTATAAGTTACAAGAAAAAACTTAGCGAAATTTTTCTAATAAAGACTTTAAAGTTCAACTTATTGTGAAGTACCTAAAGAAAACTATTATTTTAATACTACTAATGCTCAACCATAATTGATAATATTCTAATCGATGTTTAATAAACTATTCACGCGACGTCTCCTATTTATGAACATTAGAATATAATTCGAAAATTTTGATGTTAAAAACATTCCTATTATCTATTTAATTTTTTTTTAAATGAGATTGATTGTTTTGGTACCACATAGGTGCTATATATTGTGTTACTATATTATTATTTTTGTACTTACATTTTTTATACAGATTTAGCAGTTTAGTTTCTAATTAATGTTATATTATTCATATGTTATGTTATAATCTGTTTTTTATACTTTTTATATATTTAGTAGATAATCTTATCAAAATAACCGTGTATAAAACAAATGTGCGAATTAACAGATTAAATAATAATATATTTATGTTATATACTATTTTGTAACATTATTTTTGTTTGTTCAAAATTGGTCATTTAACAATTTTGAACAAACAAAAATAATAATGATACAAAATATTGAGATACCTTACACGATGCAAATACACGCACAAGTTTGTTAACTAAATATACCCAGTATAAAAAATAGATTATTTATTTATTTAACACTTAATTGCACCAACATAACAGGATTTGTTGAACAATTTTCAATACGTATAGTGTAGTATAAAAAGCGGTCTTATTGCTAAGCAATCTCTTCCAGACGACCTTTGGTTAGAAGGAATTAAAGCATAAATAGGTAGGTGGTAGTCATTCAGTAGTAAAGATATCCTACTTGTAGGGTGAAAAACCAATTTTACTGCCAAATTTTAATGCATATCTTTTGATTTGTATAGAAAGAAAAGTACTGTAATTGTTTTTACTGTACTACTCTAATAGAATTGGCAACAATTACTTTTTTTAAATATTAACTTCCTGACTACAGTTTATGTTGTAGGTACCGTGTTGTAGCTAATTGATGCATTGAAACAATTCGACAGTCAAGTGACTTCACTAGTGTTTAGACTGTTATCAAGTAATTGTAATGTTTTGAACATTAATGTGGTGTGGTGTGTGGTTTGCTTTGTGTGAATGAATTCCTAACTTCGATTTCGGGATATGTCAATTTTCAAAATTGACTCAGATGTAAGTGTTCTGCGTTGTGCTCCCACATTTTCGTTATCAGATTTCTCATAAACAGAATATCTTAGCTTAAGATCCAGCCAATTGTGTAGCACTTATGTATTTAATATATTCGTGTATATTTAATGTAAATAAGTTATTATATAAAAGTAATATATTGTTATTGTGAATGTGTTTAATTATTTCAAATAAAACAAAGTGATACATTAAATATTTATATTTAACAAAATACGGTATTGTACAAAATGATATCCTATTATCTCAGACAACATAAACATAACAATGTTACACACATCATTAGCAAATTATGAATAGTAAATACTTAACAAAAGGTACCTATAGTAATCATATCTTTAAATATACAGGTGGCATAATATCGTTTTAAAAAAGTTTTGCCAGTTTAAACATAAATCCATAAGTAAAAAGGGTCGATAAATGATAAAAATTTAAGCTTAACATAACATATCGTGTCCTGCTTTCAATGTAGCATGCAAAGCTCGAATTTTTTATGGCTTTTCGATTTTCGGGCAAAATATTCAGTTTCTCTGATAGGACAATACCTTAACAGGATGCTATTTATTTAAAATTCACCTGCATATCACTTGATATATTTGTGGATTACGACATAATATTTACGTAACAACAATTATTGTACATTACTTATATTTGTCTAACTAAAGAATAATATCAGTAAAACAATGCCATAACGCGTAGTGTGTTTAGATCTTGAACAAATCTATTTCACTTGAAAGTAATCTTCAGGCGAAAGGCTAATAAAAAATTTTTTTTTTTTTTGCACCTGCGGTAAGATGCAGTAGATTTTTAAAGGGAAATGTTTTATGCACCATGTCTATCTTATTTGGTACAGCCATATGTAAAAATCAATAAATAAAACTATTGATTTTAAGGCCTATCCGCTTACATGACATGACGCTTCCATGAAAGAGTATTAGTGAACAAAGGCACTGACAAATACTGTGTGTGGATAGACCTTTAATGTACACTTCTCAAAATACATTGAAATTCAATTGATAAAAATTACCGTACATGAAAATAGTTATTAGATGGTCTTGGATAAAAATAATTTGCAGATCTGATAATTTGCTGTTTGCTAGTAACGTGGTTGAGAACTTATAAATAAATTATAAAATCAGTGGACTTGACAATAATACAACGACTACATAGTACCTACCTAATTTACAATAGAACACACTCCAAATGTTCTTTCAAATGGCACTAGTGTACTATAAGTCGATAATGGCTCTGAGAATATACGCAGGGATTTACACTTTGCTAAAACCTTTTTTTTTAAATTCGGATTCAGAATTCAGAATTCTTTAGATATTCCCGAACATTGTTACAATTTTCAAATACATTTTTCCCTTATTCATAAAAACATCAAACCTCTTATAAACCCATGTCAGCTATTGAACTGTTTTGTTTCTTTCTTAGGTGCTAAATTCTTAATTTGAAAGAAAGTGACAAAATTGTCTAATAATTAAAATGTTTGTAGGTTTGTTGTTTAGTTTTTATGAATGAGAGGGTTGTCGAAATCTTATCTAGTTATTGCAATAATGCTTGCTAGTGTGTGCATTTTCGTAATGAAGCACTTAAAAATATCTTTGTCATTCACATTGTTATTTTGCTATAAATTTTAACTAATTTAATATTTATTCTTAATGTTTAAAAAATTATAATAAATACTCGATTGAATCGGACTTTGTTCGCTTTGTCAATAGGGATTTATGTTCAGTACTACAGTGCAATCTGCCTGAATTAGTTCTGATAATACACTTTGAGTCAAGGACTTGTCTGCGAGTGTTCTATACAATAATAAATAATCTAAACACAAAAGTCATTCACAATTTCCATTCGTATGGAGTGAACATAACTTTTTATGAAACATGATTTTTTTTTTCTATAATCTCATTATAGTCGTCTACTTACACTATAGAATCAGTACGATAGTGGATATGTAATACGATCTTTAATTCTAGGGAACAATAATTCAATAAATAAACATTGATACTCAAAAAATAATTATCCAGTGAAAATATTTTGTACCTATACCTACTTAGGTATATAAAATTAAATAATTATTTAGTATTTATACATATTTATATAGAAAAATACTTCGAAAATTCAAATTACTAAATTACTATCACATAACACTGGCAGAGGATTCAACGAATCGCCAATATCTAAAATTTTCTAATTAAAAAATAACAATTCAACCAATACTATATTTGTACCTACATTACATTTTAATATTTGTTGATGGCCAACTCTTCGCGAGTATTTTTATAACACTAATGCGTAAATACGCATTTCTTTGTTGCTACCAACTTAAAGCTAAAGGTTAGCACCTGATATATCTACAATTTGACTTCTGCATTCACGGAACGGTTGTTCGCGGCTTCTGCCTCGTTGTGCTTGCTGGGATCCTGCGCGCTGCTATTCCACCACTGCTCATCGCCCGAAGCCCAAGCCACGAACACCAAATTTGTTAAAATAAAGACAGCGAGCGCTATCCAAAACACTAACCGCCATTGCACTAATGTGCTCTGTAACGAAGGTAATTATGTTTATGTTTAATTCAGTATTGGTAATTTTTATTACTCTAACAGATTGTGGTTATTACAGTTACATTATTTAAACGCGAAACTGACATTAGTCCAACGTCTTGTAAGGTATGTACATAATTGTAAGCACGTACATAATAAACCGTATCGTTATGAACTACCTAGATCAGGTGGTCTACCATGAAATGAAGTTCCGAAATTTCGGGCTCAATTTCGTGTTTTTGTTCGTATCAAAATCGACCCAGTAAATGGAGCTTAACATTTCATTCATCATAAATCCTATTCTAATAGACCAAAGGAACGATATTTTAACATTTTTAATAATTTTAAACAGCATGTATTATGTAATTTTAACATCAAATTTCTATTTCGTTCGTCCCCGAAATTTCGGAAAATACTTCATGGTAGGCCGTCAGATTATTGGATATAACCGATTGAGGAAAGAAAAAATATTTGTTTCTCTGTAATTCAGTATGTAGAAATCTGATATTGTATAAACAAAATAATCAGTTAAGTAAACAAGTGAATCAATTGACAGCAATAATGACACTGATAATTGGTCCGCTTTGGGTAGTACTAACGCGCTATTTATTTTCTACTGTGTAGCAGCAATATATAATATAGCCTTTTTGTCAGACGAATTAAAACGCCCGTGTAGTTTGGGATATAAAAGGCGAAACGCCATATTTCCTATAGTCACCGTAGCACTTAGTAAGAACTAAACTATCTAGTACTAATACTGCAACAGCGGAACCAAGACCATTTTACCAGATGGACATTTTAACAGTATACTCTTTTATGTCCATGGTACTGCTCATGTCTATAGGGTACGGTTACCACTTTCCATCAGGTGGGCCTTCAGTTTGTTTGCCATTCTAAGTTGTATAGAAAAAAAACCAAAGGCTGACTTCTCCAATCTAACGTCACATTTTATATAAAATACTTAGCATAGCTTAATACTTACATCAGGTGTTAGTAATCCAACGAGATATGGCGCTATGATGCCTGTTATAGCACCAATTCCATTAACTATGGCCATTATAGTGCCTGCGTAGTTGCCGCTTAGATCGAGTGCGTTAACCTTCATCCCGGGGTAAAATGCGCCCATCAATCCCATGGATGCAGTAAATAAAATCACTACAGCTTCAGTATTGCAGCCGGAATACGATGCTAGGATCATGCATATACCGGGACCGACTGATGCTGTTGAAAAGAAAGGTTTTCATTTTTATTTATTTACATAGTTTTATTTTATTCAGGGGTTGAATGCCGAACTGTTAAGACTAGGCCCCGAGCAGTGATCTATTAATTTATCTGATGATACCTCGATTAAAGGAGAAACACTTGTCCCAAAATGTGCGTGAACGAAATGACAATCGGAGATCGATGGCTAATATGAAAGGTTATAGAACTCCTAGTAATAATAATAATGGTCAATCATTAAGTATTGATAGTCGCACATATACTAATGGTAGTGGTATTAAACAAAACAATCCTAATCAAATAACTACCTATGGTATCTGTAATACAACTTAGAATGAAACAAGCTTGGCTAATGGCTTACTTCATAGAAAGGGACCATCATCGTCTAAAAGCATACCAAAAAATATATTGAGACGCCTGTGTCTCTCCTCTTATATTATTATGCTTGGAAATTAGCGTTATGTCTATTTTTAATATTATGCACAGTAGTATATAATATTTTGGGATCGGTATCCATTGTTCCTTTCTATATTGCTTTGGGATGTGTTATTCTAGATAATTCTTACTCTTCCTTATCTTAGACGTTCGTTTGTTTTGTACAAAATCTAATTTCGTACAATGCAAAGTATTTTTGTATATAGATAGAGATAAACGTCGATGCCCTAAAAGAGCACTTACCAATAGTAGTGAAAGTCTTCCTAGCGTTAGTGACTGTCAACCAGTTCTTCTTCACTATTTTATCGCACATCCATCCAAATAAAATAGAACTAATCCACATAACGGCATACGGTAAGGCAGCCAATGTACCCGTCCTATGAATATCGAACTTCAACACTCCGGTCATGTATTTTGGAAGATCCGTCACCATTGTAAAGTATCCATAATCGTGGCCAATCTATTAACAGATAAAAAAATATATTTGACACATCACGTTTCATTGAATTTTCGAAGGTGTTTATTAAATTTGCCTATACCTGAACAAACTTTACTACTCGTATGTCCCTACTAAGATGTTTGTGTACGTATTTACCTAACGAATGACGTTGCATGGCCTATTTGTTCACATAATTGAATTCTCCAACAATTCAGATCATAACAATTCCATTGAAAAGAGCTTTACTATACTTAGCATTTCCTCCTTATATATACTTAATTAGGTAGACTACTTATACTGTATGTTAAATTTTACAAATTTAGCTTCGCGTTGTTGGAAAAAAACTTACATACTAGGTACGTATATAATGCATAAAATAATACGAGTTCGAACATACCTGAGCACAGACTAAAGCCCATAGGGGTACAGACATAAAAATGGCTTTCCATGGTATTGCAGACGGCTGACTATTTCGATGTCTACCTAACGCTTCTTCTAAATATTTCTTTTCCTTATCACAGATAAATGGATGAGATTCCGGGTCGTTGTAACATAATAATGCCTGCAAATATTAAAGTCAAATATTATTACTGTGTTTTTATAAACAGAGAAATAAATTAGTTATATTTTATTATAATAATATGTTTTTGTTAACTGCCTGTGCATTCAATTGAAACGGAATTCGCTTTTTCATTCGTTTTCCATAAAAAACTTAAGCTATAATGGAATCGGAAATAATTTTGCGACTCCAAAAGATAGATTTCAAGGGCATTCTTCAAATCTAAAATTTGCAAGCACATTGTTTTGTGAAATAAAATCCCGAATTTGTCATCATCGTGACAGTCATGTTAACTGTCTGGATCGTATTTCCATACGTTAATCTAATTTACCATAATGCAGGTGTCTAAATTTGAAAATCAAGAAATTGATGTTTTTTTATGCAACATAGAATAGTACTTAATGCAAACAAGTTGTGAGCCCATCAAATGAAAAGTCTGTCGCCTATATACAGAAACAGCGCAATAGACATAAACATTATGGTGTAATCATAAAATGGCTAATAAAAAAGATTGGTACTTTTTTTTCTTTTTTTAATGTTACACGGCGTCATCTTGTCCCAGAGTAGGTAAGCAAAGCTATGTGTACAAGATAACAGATAAACATATATAAGTACTGAAATGTAAATATTAAAAATGATTACCCATAATATGAACCAGAGAATTCCGATAGAGCCAAACAAATAAAATACGGAGTGCCAGTCGCCCGTTTCCTTCATGACCAGACCGGAGAGGTATGTACCAGCGATATTGCCAATTTGTGCCCCACCAAACACTAAGGAACCCATTCGACCTCTTTCCGAGACTGGCGCCCAACGAGCTAACATTGCGTTTAAAGCTGGAAATGTGGTACCCTAAAAAAATTCCATCATTAAGTATAATTAGATTGTGGTTTATAATAAAATTAATAAAAAAATTAATACATAAAAACATTATAATAAAAGGATTTCCAAATACAGATGGTTTTGAATTTTCCAATATTCTCATGTTTGTTACGTTTTAACACTTTCAATTTTGATATCTTAGCCAATTATGTGCCGATTTTAATAGATTTTATTTGCTGTGCCAATATCACAATTACTTCTTCTTTTGTTCGCTATTATTTAAAAATGTATATTAATATTTGGTTTATTATTGTATAGTATGTATGTTTCAATCTATATTTATGTTACTGTATTTCACTTGAATTATTCACTTGTCATTGTATAATTTTATTTATGGTGCAATAAAGAGTTAAATAAATAAATATAGTCACATGCAATAAATACTACTATACAGTAAACATAATAAATTTATATATTAATAGAATACTAAAAGTTTTCATAATTGATATAATCACCTCTCCAAGTCCTTCTAATACTCTCAATATGATTAGTCCGGTAGCTCCTCCCATGTTGACTGTCCAAGGCGTTAGGAGAGTAAATACGGCCGTACTCAGAACTCCAAAACCAAGAGAATATTTCCCTCCAAATCTCTCAGCGAGCATACCTCCAGGAAGGTGAGTCACTATGTAGCCGTAGTAGAAAGCACTCAAAATAATACCTTGGGTCTCCTCGTCCCATTCGAATCCGTTTATTTCCTGTAAAACATGATGATGTAATTTAACCACATATTGTATGAAATAAACAAAACTTTTAATACGAATAGTGAATATATATATATATATATATATGTTTTGAACTTTATTATTGATTTTGTGGTGATTGTTCAATGTGATTTCCTACAAAAGCAAATAAAATTATGTCGGGACGGTTCTGCTTATATTTGCTGAAATGGTGACCGCAAATTATGTTTGTAATATTATATTGACTTTTTAAAACGAACTAGCAACAACATGCGCGATTTCGCCTGCATAAATCAGAATTAAAAGCCTTATTATATGTTAAACGAAGATATAAACTATCTGTATAACAAATTTTATTCAAATTTATCATTAAAAATCTTTAGGAAATTTATTTTCCTATACCACAAGTAATAGTAGATACTATTTCACAATTTAGTACTACTATCTGTGATATAAGTATATCGAGCTATTACTTAAGCTATTAAAAAACGACTTACTGTAGGATCTGTAATAACTTCGTCTATGTCACCGGGACATGATCCATCATCGACACCCGCTTCGCGAGGACGTCTATGTACCATCTGTGTTATGGCAATGTTGAGACACACACGCATCGTATACGCGTTTGCCACTGCAAGAAATCCCATTATGGCCATCACCCATCTTTGAGGAATTATAAATACTGTAACAAAGACATGAATAGCGTATTAGAAAATTATATATAATTTCACGATTTTATATAAAGAAAAAATATTATTCAAGACCTTGTATCATTCAAGAAGATGTCAGTAGACATTGCATTGTGAACTAAAAGGTAAATTCATAAATCATAAAAATTACTATTAAAAATAATTAAGTTATGCTTATAATAAAGTTTAATTGAATAAAAAAAATACTTATTTACCGTAAATTACAAAATAAATATAAAAAGCAAACTTGTATTTGTTAGATCGAAAAAGGATTTATTTTAGAATACAAAAGCTAATTTTTTAATTTGATATGTTATTTTTGTATACTTAGACATTCTAATATTACTAATGTTTCATCGCATAAAGTTATATCTTTATATATTGTTATAAGAAATAATTAGTATAAAGTTAGAGGCTGCTCGAATTACTCTACTTAGATATACCATATTAGCTTTGGTGTAAGGACATTCATAAGTAGATATAAATGCATGCAATCTACTCGTATTTGTAGTAAACTAACATGATACTATAATCAAATCTTCACATTAAAGACTCATATGTCAAGATAATTGCACCGATTCCGTTTCATACAATACACAGATGACACATGCATGAGATATTCTGATGTAATGAATACCTGATAGGATTGTATTTGTGTGCGATGATTCTTTTTATGTCGCATTGCTGTGCGGTCAGCCGTGGAAGAACTGGGTGTGCAAACATTCAACTACGATCGTCCCAAACCAAACATTATAAGTGAGATCAGTCAGTTTGATTATACATATTTATTATATTTGAAAAAGCACAAGTGGGAATGAACCATTTACACTCTACCTATTGGAACTCTGCGAGGGTCCACGTATATTTTTATGCAATTGGAAATGGCAACTAAATACCTACTATACTTAAATATACAGTAAAATCTCGAGATGATGATTGATCTAAAGAACCACATAATCAAACACACACCTATTAGTTTTCAACATATATTATTATAATTAAAGTGTTATTTTAGTGTACCGTGTCTCCATTTAAACCATACTTATGTATTTAATGGATATTAGCCATAACTACTAGATTTACAACCGATTTACTTCATGTAAAACTGGCCATTCTACTAATAAAAAAGTACTTAAATATAAATACAACAGTTAATTAATTATTATAAAATTCACGTCACAATTCACATTACCAAACGTACGCAGTCGGAGTATCGAAATAGCACACTATGACGATTACCATAACATGATTAAAATTATAGGTAGAGGTAGGTTGATAACTACTAGTTATATTTATTCATTTTAGAAACATACATTTTCTAATAATCAAGTCTTTTAATAAATATCTCTATTGTAATTGGTTGAAATATACCTAGCATATTTTTGAACTTCTGTCCCACCAACATTTGTAATCTATTTGATATTTGTTTTATTTCTTCGTGAAAATGAGTTTGAGGAAATAAAAAATTTGATCAATTTTATTTACCTAATGAGGTAAAGAGGTTATTTAGTTTAATAGTGAAATCAATTCTGAAGTACCACTTCCTAAACCCATCTCCAAAATGATAATTTTATGTTATTCAAAATAAGCAATTGCCTAATTTCTTATTTTGAATTATTAATTACGGAACAACAATAACGTAGATTTAAAGTAGTTTTAATTTAAATCTATTAACAAAAATAAATTTAACTCATACAGGTTCAAAGAGGAATAATTTCTTTGTCGGTCATTATTATCATTATATCAACCGTTAACTGTCCTACTAAATATAGTTCTCCTCCATAGACTGTTATAAGGAACGGTCTCGAGTTTCCTGTATCCACTGATTCCCTGTAATATATTTGAGATCATTGCTCCATCTAGTGACGGTCGTCCTACACTGCGTTTGCCTGTACGGAGTCGCCACTCAAGTACCTTTTTTCTTCTCGATTGTCGATTCTATGAGCTATATGGCCAGCTCATTGCCACTTTAGCTTGCTTATCCTTCTTTGTAGGTACTTACTACCAAACTAACATACTGTAATGTCTGGCATAGCTAATCATTCATGATGTTGATCACGGGTAACGAGACACGTGACTAATTGAAAAAAAAATCTTAACTAAAGTAGTTTCACTTAGCATTGAAATTGAGTGAACCTAAGTACGAGTAGGTAGATAATTAGCAATGTACCTTCTATTGACATACTAATTGTTAATTGCCGCTAAATGCCGCCTAGCGTCTGACTAGAATACCTACACTCAAGATGTACGCGCACTTTGGAAAGTGCAAAAGTGCAAAGATTTTCCAAACGATTTTCTCAGTAAAAGTTTTCGTGTCATCAGCATGAGGTACGAGACAAGACAATAGTCCATTCGCCAGTAGGTACGAGTATATTGTAGGTACGTCATTGATTTACAAAATGGTTTTATTATTTCCGTTCCTTCGCATACAGAATACAAAATTACCACAGCTGTCCGTTACTGTTCCCGTTTGTAGAAAAATTAAATGTGGAAACCGTCGAGTTGAAAGACACACTAACTAACTACATATATGCGAAGAATTTTAAGTGGCATGCCAACAGTTGAATAAATAAATTAATATTACTATGCCGCATATTATTTCAATCCATTGCTGATGCTGAACATTATAATCTTTTCTAAACATGGCAAGGGTAAATACGACTGTTTCAAATTGAACATACTTTAATTAATAGTTAGATATATTTCTAATAAATAAAATGGAATACCAACGGTTATTATGTACCATCAAAGAGGCCGTTCGCTGATAACTCCCAGTGATATTAAAAGAAAAATGTTTGATCTCTATATAAAAATCTTGACAAACTTTGTACTAGGTGGTTATCATTTTTAACAAAGAACCTTAGTCGGTGTACTCATGCAGTGTTATAGTATTTTTCCACGATCTTTCAACGACTAATTAAAGATGAACTAAACGTCGTGTTTTTATGGGGCACCAGAAAAGGTACTGATTGAGAAACTGGTTGTGTTGTGATGGTTTTTATGGTAGATTTCTATTGAGTCCGCGTGATAGCATTCCAGGCATCGTATGATCCCGCCGGCCAATGGTAATGCTAAACCAGTTCCACTGGCAGACAGGCTGGCGTGGTGCGGCGTCTAATGATGTGTAGCAAGTTGCAACTAATTACATATTGCCTATCGAGAAAATGTTGGAAGGTGCGTTGAAAAAGATATAAAATTTTCCTTTTTTGTAAGCAAGCCTTTTTTAATGTATGTAGTGCATCATAATTTATAAAAAAGATTACTTTTTTTCTAAATGTGTACATAATAAAACCATTAAATAGCTATCTAGACTACTCATGTGAGAGTGTCGCTCTACCAAAAGTCAAGAATGTCTACCCTAGAATTATGTGGTGCCCACCATAAGATGCGAGCAAAGGTTTGTAAAGACATGTCTGAAAGTACATATGCACATTTTAAAGGGAAACTCCTTCTAAAAAATAATCTTAAGTATGCTAACGGTGACCATGTCTTACTGATATATTTTAATTCATACAATCTAAATTACCTTTCAAACCTATCTTTTAAACTTAAATTGGCTATCTTTGTGAAAAATATTGCTTTACTATACAAACCACCTATTAAAAACTAAATTTGAAGCAGGTTTAACTCAAATCTACACTAACATTATAAAGAGGAAAATTTTTAATTGTTTGTTTGTAATGAATAAACTCATAAACTAATCAACCGCTTTTAAGAATTTTTATAGCCCTATAAAGCTACAATATTAGCGAGTAACATAGGCTATATATTATTTTCAAAAATTCTGACCCTTCTTTTTTCATCCAACTTAGAATAACAAATCCCAGCCAGCCTGATGTAAAGTGGTAAGCGTCGCCTATAGACATGAGCAGCATCATGGACATAACAGAAAATATACTGTTTCGCCTATGATACCCCCCATGCTACTCTGTAAATTCACTGCTATATCCCACCCTTCAAACTAAAACACAGCCATGCAAATACAACTGCTTCACGATAGAAACACAAATGGGACAGGATAGGACAGAATGGGAATGCCCAAGCCAAATACTTTTGTACAAAGTCTCTCTCTGGTAGCCGTGTGAATCCGGCCCGGATTACTAGTCATGCTACTAATCATATATTTTCCTCATTTCATATGAAGCTTTAAAACAATAATTTTGCTGGAACATCATATTAAAATTTAGAGAATAAAACTTAAGAATAGACCCGAAAAATACCTGAAGGATTAACTACCTATTGTGAAAGCGCATCTCAATTCTCAGAGCGTTAAATCGACATGGTAGATTAATATGCATAGTATGCTAAATTAATTAGGATGTAGGTATCAGAATGTATCATTACACGCGAGAACCTTCACGCATAAATGTCTGTTTTATTAATTAAATACAAAGTCTCTAGTCATGATGTTTAAATTATCGGACGTGTTCAGTGCTACGGTGATTTCCTTTAGATTTTTAATAGCGATTTGCTGACATAATTAATTTAACCTACCTTTTAAAAAATACTTTATTCTCTCATATACTTAACATATCATACATACTCTCCAAATATTTTATGTGTTATTTTATATCTATTTCTGGTATACACGAGTATTTATTTCTTCTGTACTTCAAGGGTATGACAATTCTTGTATTTATGATAGATTAATAAATTAGGTATTCCGTCCAATAAAGACATTATTGTATTCAGTTATTGTAATTACACTACTAACCCTAGCACGTAGTAAAATACTTACTAAATAATTACACACCAACGCTTTGACTGATAAACAGCTATCATTACATGAACTATTACATCTTTCAATCTTCCTTGATCATCGATTAACGGAATATGTAATTAGCATTGTCGCATTCGACAACAAAACGTGACATGGTATAAGTCAGAATTCAGGCCTCATATGGAATCTTGCCGCGACCTTTGGGACCATTGGATACCAACTTAAACTTGGTTTAAAGGCTTTTATATTAAATATATTAATAAGTATCTAATT